GTAGTAAATTTTATTGGCTTTCATTTTATCACAAAGCCAAGTCTGTACCTTCAACACTTTTCTGAAAACTATACAAATAATAATTTATAAATATCACGATTTTTTTTATTTAATGAATTGAAATAATGTCCCCCAACCATTAAGTGATAAAAACGAAATAAGTAAAAAACATTTTTAAGGTTGAAAGTTAAATTTAAAGATAAATTATGACAAAACATTCTTATAATTAGTATTTTGGCTTTTTGGACACTGAAGGCAAGGCATTAGAAATGATTCCTGATTCAAACTCATCGGGTAAAGACATATTATCGTCAGGGTCATCTTCATCCTCTCCAATTAATGGTAATGTGACATTTTGGCAGTTCTTAGCAGAGCAAGGAGTACATAATGGTGAACACTTTACCCCGGCCTTCCGACATGTGCAAGCACCTGTGCATCCCTTTTTGCTAGAGGTGTGCGGATATCCAAAAAATCGGGTCGGATTCGGTTCGGTTCGGATATCCTTATCCGAACCGGGCCCAAATTCGATATCCGAAACTATCCGTTATATATCCCACTTTTTCGGATAGACAATATAATTTGACGTTTTGGACAGAAAACTAAATCTCCATAGCCACCATTAGTTTCCCAGGACAAAATTACAGCAATACGTTTCCAACGACCTAACAGCAAACGGCAAAGAAGCCGTATGATGCAATACTGATAACTAGATTAGTTGTTATCGACTGTTTTGCTTTACGATTAGATTCGTCTGGAACGAACTAACATAAAGCAGAAAAGAACTACCATGGTCAAATGAAAGTCAACTCGTGCTTGTCTCGCTCCTGATACTAGGGGCGCTGCGTAATAGTTTTTTTTTACAGTACTGTTTCAAAGTAGAAAAATCTAGCCTACTACTGTGAAGTTACATAAACAATAGATTTAATGTTTCCCGAAAAAAAGTCAGAATAGAAACAATAGAAAGGCAACACAAAAGAAGGGTGGGAGGGGTTGGGCAATGACCTCGAAAGGAGCGCGGGTAGTGAGTCAAGTAGGACCGGAGGGGGAAGGGGTGGGTAAGACCTTGAAGCTATATATAGACTTGCACTACTTCCCTAAACCTAAAGGACTGGCCGGCGAGTGGTATTCCAATCACAGGACAAGATACGTTGTTTTTTTGGGTATTCATTGCCCGGTTTGACTTTGGATTGTCTTACTGTGTAGAAACTTTGAATAATAAAAAATAAAGTTAGAACTAACCACGATTATTTAGCATCGATTGTGTACATATAAAATGATTAAACTATAGGGACCATGGATATATACAAACTTTTGTCATGATTTTAATTTCAACATCAAAATACAATATTGCACAACCGTGATATTTTAGGTCATTGACCTTTATTATGCATCCGGTATTGCTGTTTCAGAAGAGAAGCACGTTAATAAATTATAAATTGATATTCCCGTAGTTAAAAAGAATTATTTTATAAACCTATAAAACAAAATCATAAAATCTTACATAAAGATAACAATAACAGAAATTGTAAAAAGGGTATAAAGATAACAATGTCGTTATTCTTTCTCTTTGTTCTTCTATTTCTTGGGTTTCCCTTCATCACACATTCAACAAGTTGCCATGGTTACTAATCACCCATGTCGTTATCAGCTTTTGTGACATAGCGCACAGCAGGGGGGTAAAACTTGACGAAAATCGGTTATTTTTTACCTATTATTTAATTACCAATGAATGTACTACTTTATTGGTATTTGGTACTGTATTAATAATCAGTCAAAATAGCCGATTTTTGTCAAATTTTACACCAAATTTATTGAAATTTCAAGGTGAATATTAATAAAACAATTATTACCAAATATTTGTATTCATTTAAAAGATTGATTTGTGGTATTGGGTTCCCCACTGAGTGCAGCCGAGCGGCACTAATGAGGGTCGGACCTTCTTGGGGGTGAACAATAGACGGCTTATCAGACCCTCCCCTCCCCCGTGCTCTGGAGAAAGCATGTAAACAAACTATTGCACATGCGTGACTTGACATTGGGCTGCTTCAACTATAATTTTGTCAAATGAACTGTGATGTTTCAAAATCAAAAACAATAATTTGGGACCATACTGCTTAACAATAATGGACTGCAATTATTGTTGAACATACAATCCATTTTTAACAAACTAAGATTATACGATTCAAATACAATTATAAAAATTATCTTGGTATTTTACTTTGGGTAATGAAGTTATGTAGGCTAGTGTAATTCTCGGTTCATCAAGGTTCTACTGAATTATGTTTGGCAGTGAATAAATTATAAGTGTAGAATGCAATTTATAAATTCAGGGATACACACCTTTTACACAGTTATAAAGTCTAATTTAATTGCCCAAGATCAAATCGTGAGCTAGAGCCCAGCTTAGTAGGCCTACGTTAGTGATGTTTTCTAAACTTGGCAAACCCGCAAAATGCCACTTAAATCCAATAATCCGTTCCGAAAACGTAAGGAAATACAATGTGAAAATAAACTTGAGATCAACTCCTTGTCTTGTGAGAACCAGGAAACAACATAAAACATAACCTCAAGTAAACAAGCCCAAACGTTTGACATCAGTCCTGCTGAGCTAAGGTGTTGTGTCAAGATTTCGGCTGCTAGTGTACTTAATTCAAGCAACCAACTTTTGAAAATAAATGTTGTGAATTGTGATTTTCAAGAGAGAGAAAACTGTGGACTTGGCTAATTTGGAATTCTATAGTTCAAAATCGTCATTTAAGTTTATTTACACAGCTTTACATTGTTTTATATGTTAAAAATACATATGCAGCTTATTATTAACCGCGCCGAACTATCCGAATCCGAAAATATCCGAATCCGAACCTCCCAATATCCGATCCGATCCGAACCGAGCCTCAACTATCCGATCCGAATCCGATCCGAAATGAAATTTCACTATCCGCACACCTCTACTTTTTGCACCTACATGAAATTAGTTTCAGAAGGTTAAATGGAGCTGGACTGCATGTTGTTGTCACTGGAACCAATCCTGCTGTGCTATTTGACCAACCCCACTCTCTGGGATCCTTTTCAATCCCTAACCATTTTGTACTTGGTGGTATGCTCGAAATGAGTGGAAGGAAGCTGCATCTTGGGTGGGGGCAAGCGTGATAAGTTTACCTTAGCGCTGGCTGCTGCCTTTACAAACAGGCGGAACCGAAGGTTTTCTAATTCATCGTGGAATGTGTTGCCACCATACAAAGCAATTAGGTACTTTTCTCCAGCTTCCTAGGAGGAATTTTTAGTGTGAGAATGGGGAAACCTATTTTAATCCCATAAAACCCTGTTCCCTTTAGTACGATCATACTGGTTCGCGAACTCGTTCGGACGTAACAATATCATTTGCTTCTAATTTAATCAAAATCACATGAGTTTTACTCTAGTTAATGTTTTGATGGACATACACCCACATTGAAATAAACTTGAACGGAAGGCGTTTTTGACCTCTGGGAATTTGAAGTTGAAAAAGTAAATCAGTCCCGGCTGTGTATAAATAATGATATTTTTTGGATATCTAAATAAACAAAATTATAAGGTTTTAGCAAATTTCCTCTAAAGGGAATGAGCTTTTACCGTAGTTCTTATGGTAAGACCTGAACTCGGGACCGATTTCAATACAGTACAAAATCAATAATATTCACACTATAGAATGATATAAATAGCAGATCAAAACACAGCTTATCTTTTGCCATTTTAACTTATTTTTCCATTTGTTTAAAACGAAATTCTGCAAGTGATGTCATTGTCCTTTTAACCAGTGAACAAGGTTGACACAACAACACGAGGTCGTCTTTCAGGCTCTTGGAAAAGATGGTGCGGGAAAAAGTACATCAGCATTTAGCACAAGTCTTATTGATGTAGAACCTGGACTATTGTAGTTAAAATGCATCATATAAATATTTGAAACAGCAAAAAATGATATACAGTAGTAGTTTACGCAATGATTGTGTTCAAATCAAATCAAATCGTCTTTATTTCGTATTGTACATAAATCAGTGCATGGAATGGCGTCAAAAACTACATCTAAAACTTAACAAAAAGAAAACAAGTCTAATAGAAATAAAACACTAATTTAACACATATTCTTCTCTTTTACTTACTGGTCGGAAGTAGCTATTACCATAGGTGGTACGGTAAGGCTTAGTGCCGAGACCGATATATTTGATAATTTTCTGCGGTGGGGATATTTACTGTAAGTTGTTTTACACAAATTTATATTATATATTTTTTAAATTAGCTATAGCATAGATTTTTTTTATAAAACTCTAAATAACTTACACATGTTGTAAAACCAATTAAACTCGTTAAATGAAAAAATCATGATATTAATAAATTATTATTTGTATATTTTTCAGAAAAGTGTTGGAGGTAGAGACTTAGCTTTGTGATCAAACGAAAGCCAATAAAATTTACTACAAAAGCAGTTTTTAAGAATTCTGCCATAATATGGGGTAGGGTCTATTACACAAATTTTGTGGGTCGAACCCAGGAAAAATGTAAATTATGGTAATTACTTTAAAAAAATACATTGAAAGGGTAGATTATTATAAATATTTGGGTGTTTATTTTGACTACCGAATAAAGTGGACAGAGCATGTAGATTTCTTGAAGGAAAAGATTTGTAAATATTCGTGAAATTTTAGACGAGGATGACGTTAAGCGAGCTTGTCGTCAATGGGTTAATAGATCGGTGTATCAAAAGGTCAATGATCAATTACAGCTGGAACCAGTTTTCCTATCTATCCTAAACAAACCTACGTAGACATCATCTTACATAAAAATCCGACGTTTCATCTATTTATATTCACGATTAAATTTGCTTAGCTGTATCCTTATCGACCCTATCTCAAACAGTGAAATTATTTTACACCTTTAACTGATCTAGAAACACAACTAGGCCTACTGAATTTTAGATGTGTTTGGACAAAAGATTTTTTGGAATCAAACTGATTGAAACATACCATATTTTTTCAGAAGCCAATCTTCAGGTACAGGACAGTAGGACCCAGTAGGATCTACATCTCCTAGCCCAGGAACTTTACTTGGACGTCCCAATTTTGTTCGCCATCGGAAAGCTGCTAGCTGCCCTGCAACAGATGAATTAATGTTCTGAGGAACCATATAGCCTACTAACCATGTTTTCTGATAACACTGAACTTGAACCAACACACCTAAATTTATAAGGAGTGGAGGTAGAGGTAGTTGAGGTAGAGTGTATAATAGCTGTAGTGTTGTCAAAACTGCTCCATAAATACTTACTTACTTTCCGTGTCCGCACTGACTGATTAAATCATCTTCTTCCAAAATCTAGCAGCTTGAATAGCCTTGTCATTGCTCTAAAAATATCGTCCTCCAGATAAATTGTGCCTATGTCTCTGCACAGTAGAAGATGCTTCGGGGTTTGGGTGAGACCACAATCACACTTGTCTTCATCTACATATCCTACTTCTTCAGGTTACTCTTGCACCTTGAGACGCCCGTCTTTAATCTGTTGAGAGCCCGCCCTTCATCATACGGAAGGCAGTGCCCAGGTGCCAGTTCTTCCTTTGCCATAAACTTCGATATTAGGGGGATTTCCTCCTCCCATAAGGAGAGTCACCTGGTTTCTGCATTGGTCTCCAATGGCCTGCATCTTTTTAGGAAGCTCCTTCGAGAACTTAGATGTTGTGGCACTATTACTTGGTTGAACATTGGGTGCCTTGGATCTGTTTCCTGCTTCAGTTTTTCTTTTTCAGATGCCACTTGTCTTCTAATATGGGGAGGTGCTATATCCGCCATTGCATATACTTTGTGAATGGGGGTTGGTTTCAAACAGCCTGTTACAAGTCTGACCGTCTCATTGAGAGAGACGTCAACCTCCTTAGCATGATTCGAAGCTCCCCAAACCGGAGCGCAATACTCACCAGCTGAAAAACATAGGCCCATAGCTGTTGTTCTTAATACCTCAGGACAGGCACCCCATGTTGACCCAGTCAGTTTACGAAGGATGTTAATCCTGGCACCAACCTTACCCTTCAGCTCTTTGCAGTGGTTTCTGAACGTTAGTGTCCTATCCAGTTTGACTCCCAAGTACCTAGGCTGCTCTGAGTGTTCCAAGGTTACGCCACCCCAAACGATCTTTAGCTTCCTCCTTGCTTGTCTACTTTTCAAATGAAAAGCACAAACTTGTGTTTTTTGAGGGTTTGGTCTTAACAGATTTTGCTCATAGTAGGTACTCAGGGCTTCCAGAGATTCAGTGATCTTCTTTTCTACATCTTCAAAACTTTTTCCTTGGGCTGTGATTACTGTGTCATCAGTGTAAATAAAACTTCTAGTCCCATTAGGTTTTGGCTGATCATTTGTATATACATTGTAGAGTAGTGGGGAAAGTACGCTACCTTGTGGTAAACCATTTCCCTGCTCTCTCCACCGACTTTTCCTTCCTTGAAGTGTCACGTAGAACCTTCTGTTCTAAAGAATCATTCTGATTGCGCTTGTCAGGTGGAAGTCTTTTGTAAGGGAGTATAGCTTTGTCAACAGTTTCTGGTGGTTAACTCTAACTGTATCATATGCTGCCGAGAGGTCAATAAACGCTGCTCCAGTTATGAGTTTCTTTTCAAAGCCATTTTCTATATGCTGTGTAAGGTTGAGGACCTAGTTACCGCATGCTTTTCCTGGTCTGAAGCCTGTCTGTTCCGGAATAAGCTTAGAATCGATGATCACACTGATTCTTTCTAGGATCTACGCTCAAAGGCCTTATACAGATGGCAGAGAAGGGAAATCGGGCGGAAGTTTTTGGCTTCAGTTGGTTTTTTTCCTGGTTTTAGGAGTGCGACTACGTGAGACCTCCTCCAGATTTTCGGAACCTTCACTGTTGCCATACATGTGTTCATCATTTTCAATATCCAGTTGAGGGTTTCTGGCCCGAAACGTTTTATTTGCTCTGTTCTTATATCATCCGGTCCTGCAGCTTTATTTTCTTTCATTAGGCTAAGAGCTGTTCTCAGTTCCTCAATAGTAAAAGACCTCTCTAAAGAGCTTTCCGTTTCCTCATTCTTCAATCGCTCCAATTTGTGTTTTTTGACCCTTCGTTTTGGTTTTCCATTTTTGGGGTCACTTGGCTATAGTCTGGTTTTGCTTGTGTTGGGTTGTTACTAAGGTTTTTTATCAACTTCCAGGCTCTCCTACTGTTTAATTTCATATCCAGGTCAGAGAGAAGCCTGGACCACTTCTCCTTCCTTCCCTCGCTCAAGCAGCGCAGAAGTTCTTCACCCTGTTCAATAGTTTCAGCTGAGAAAGCATCTTTATCAAAGTTGTTATTGTAATTTTGAAGGAGATCTTTCGCATGGGGGTTGAGGCCACTGACATACTGGGTTCGGCATCCCCTAGGAATGAATTTTCTTGAGGCATTTTTTACCAGTACAACAAATTTTTCATAGTTTTCAGGACAAGGGTTCAACCGTTTTACATCTGAATCGAGTTCTTGAGAGAAACTTTGCCACTTTGCCTTTTTAAAATTAAATCTTCTCTTGAATTGGACAATCTCTGGTTGAACGACTTTAGTGATGGTGCATATTACAGGTCTGTGCTGTGTCTTAAGTATCGGGGGGCCCACTGATTTAACTGTGTTCTTTGTCACGTTTTCACTTACAAAAATGTTATCTGGGTTGTAGCCTTTTTGCCACCGACCGCTATTGAAAGACGCAGGTAACTTTGGGTCATGAATGAGTGCGAGTCCTTCACTATCCGTCCATCTCCCCAGTAACTCCCCATTTTCGTCAGTTGCATTATATCCCCAATTTGTACTGTGACAGTTAAAGTCTCCAAGTACAACTATCACATTTGTATTTCTGTAGTTACATGGGGGGTCAAAACTATAAGCAGCTCCTGGTGGTTTATACACAAATGATACGGTACATGACGATAGTTCAATGGTTAAAATCTCTATATTCATTCGAATCTGTCAGGTTCATTGACTTGATAGTGATGTCCGGAGAAGCGAAGATAGCGCTTCCGTATTGTGCATGAGGTCTTTCAATGACAAGTTTCATTCCTTCAATACTAGGTCTTTTGTCTGTAATCCCTCGATGGGTCTCTTGCATGACTAAAACATCGCATTTGCTTTTCTTACAAAAGTCAGCAAATAAGATATCTTTATTTTTGCTTAGTCCTTCAATGTTGATCAAAGTCATTACAAATGGCCTTGAAAAGGGCCGTTTTGGATTTCCACCATCTAACTTGACGATTCTTTTATTCAGTCCGGCGGTAGAAGGATTAGCCGCTAAAAGCGTTGCCCAGGGTACGCCCGATCGGTTCTTTCTCAATGAGAATCTTCCTGCTGTCTTTGAACTCGATCTTCGGGGAGGCTCCTTCTGTGTACCCCGCTCTATAAATTTAAACATCACCCACACACACTACAACATAATTTCAGCATTCATCTATGTTTTTTTAATTAATGTATTGTGATATTCTAAAAGGAGTTCTTCAAATTATATTACCGTACCTATTTAATTAGCCTATATCATTTTTTTCCAAATATAGGTTTAACTTAATACAGGGCTGTAAGTTAGGCCTATTTAGCATTAGGGTGCCCATAGGGGGCCCAGTTATTGCTCAGCGATCTTTGTTTACAATGGAAGGACTGGAAAGTAACAGTGCGTAGGATCGGGATGCAATTATAAACTTAGGCTAATTGAACTGTTCTGTGGAAAACGGGCGTTGTGGTCATAGGGTCAATGTGGGTAATTGTGAACACCATTGACGAATTTTACAGATAAACGCAATTTACAAGAAAATAGTAAGCAATTTTAAAAATGTGATTAGTGTTATAGCATTATACATATTTTGGGCTTAATATTTCATATCGCCTAAGCCGATTTCATCCCTTATTTAGTTAAGGAGTTATTCGGCATTCACAATTGCCCAGACTGCATTCACAATTGCCTACTTTGAAATAGTCAGAAAATCAGGTAGGCCTAGATGTAAAAATAATAAATACCCCCGCCGCAGCAAACCTGCAGACTAAGCGAATTTCCATTTGACTGATTGGATTTACACTGAAATGTCTACTTAAAAATATAGCATTTATTCCCGATTTAAATAGAATTAGTTTAACAAGTACTTAGGTTTGCTGCATCAGGGAGGGTAAAACTGTTTTTTTTTGTAAAACGTTCATAGTTAGTAAGAAATAAAAACATTTTCCAAATTTGATCAAAATATGTTCATAAACAAGCAAACTACAACAGTTTACTCATTCTCCATAAGAATAACATGGGAATTTTAAATTTACAATTTTTTGGAATTTTCTCCGTAACCATTAGGCGCATAACAACGCTTCAATATACTAAATTATTTGTTTTTTTAAGCTCTACAAAATGGTTTGGAAATAAATTGCTAAATTTTATGTTTTTTGGGTCAAAAATGGGAAAAACCTATTTTTACCCCATAAAACCCCCCGTAAACACCCGTTCCCATGGTCCGATCATGCTGGATCGCGAACTCGTTCGAATAAACGTAGGTTTACACGTTTGTACCAAATTTCATCAAAATCGGATCATTTTTGCTCGAGTTATCGTGCTGACGGACACACATATATATATATATATAGCCTATATATAAATATATATATATATATATGAATTTGAACGGATGGTGTTTTTGGCCTCTAGGGACCTCAAAACGGAAAAAAAAATCGGTCCCGCGTCCAGGTCTTACCATGAGTACTACGGTAATAGCTTATTCCCTATATGGGAAATTCGCTAAAAATGGTCAGAATAGGCTAATTCAAATTAAGTTTAATGAATTTAGGCCTAAGTTAATGGGTAAAATAGTATTCTTATACAAGAGAAAATAATATAGGGAGTGTTACGGTAGTTATTTGATAGGCCTACAGTAAAGGAAAAATTTAAAGGATATAACAAAATAATCTCACTTTAATCAACAAAAAAGCACAAATTTGTTTCTTAAAATTATTGAAATCCTACGGTAATAACAATCAACCATAAGAAAAGAAAACTAAATTAACTTATTTTGGTTAGATAAAATAATTAAACACTTTCTTTTAGGCTGTACAGAATATTAGTTGTACTAAAAATGGTTTTTTTATCTTGAAAAACCTTATAAACTAGCCTATTTAGAAATCAAATCACTAACAGATGTGCCTACTAACTAACTGTCTTGTCCGCCTACATCTCAAAAACTGGAACACAACCTGGAAAATTTTAAGTAGGCCTAATCTGTGTTTCTTTTACAGGCGGGGGTAAAGTGAACAGCATTCACAATTGCCCCAAGATTAGGTCTTTGTTTACAATGGAAGGACTGGAAAGTGACAGTGCGTAGGATCGGGATGCAATTATAAACTTAGGCTAATTGAACTGTTCTGTGGAAAACGGGCGTTGTGGTCATAGGGTCAATGTGGGTAATTGTGAACACCATTGACGAATTTTACAGATAAACGCAATTTACAAGAAAATAGTAAGCAATTTTAAAAATGTGATTAGTGTTATAGCATTAGGCCTATGCCTTAATTACCTAAATTACCCCCACATAGTGAAATATTGAGGGCAATTGTGAATTTGATGACATAAAAAGAAAAATGCTTAAGTTACATGAAGGGTATGAGGATATGCATTAGGCCTATACATTTGAAATTCTTTCATAACCCTCCGAGTGTCCATAGTTTAGGCCTTAATGTCCGCCTATTTTTGGTGCATTGGCAAGGTTTTATTAAAACGGATCTGAGAAGCTTAAAACAATGTTAATTCTACTGTTCTATATACCATTTTGTTTGGAAAATCATGGGCTTCAATATTATACATAAAACATAAGGAACATTTGTTTCAAAAAAAATTTTTAGGTAAAAAAAAATATTTTGGAAAATTTTCAAAAAAAAAAAAATAAGTTCGCGCTCAATGAAATTGTATAATTATAGACCTATAAATATTTGAAAATAGCCACTTTGTTCTAAATTTTATGAGGATTACAAATATATAATAATATAAGGAAGTAGATTTGCAAATAAATAAGTTATGGGCAAAAAACAGATTTCAGTACATAGCGTTTAGCTAAGAATGCATAGCCTAACCATAGCTAGGAATATGGCTGATAATTTACATCAATATCACTACCTACTTCTTCAGGATCATCAACCAGCCCTTCAAAATCACTTAAATCTTCTTATAATGCACCACGTATATCACTACTTTTGATTTTTAACACTAAAACAATGAAAAACGTAATAAAACACATCAGTCATCGGTCTGAGGGTAACCTAGCGTTTTACAAATACGCACGTCAGCTGTCTGCTACAATTACGATCGGCTCGGAGAACATAAAGCGCTTAGAGACAGACCTCTGGAGAAAGCTTAGAATCTAAGGAAAAGAACGATACCTAACTCGATCCAGTTCAATCCGATTCAGTCAGTCATAGAGCCTTCGCCGTAAACGATGTTCGTGCGTCGAAAAATCGACGCGTGACACTACACAAAGTGTGTCGTGCGTAGATTTTTCGACGAGTGACGCTCGGAGGGTTAATGACTAGTTTTCATGTCAATCTGACTTTTACTTTTTTCACACAAAAAAAAAACAACAAAAATAACAAGGGTCGACGCAACTTGTTTCTCAACGAAAAACGCAACTTTTTTTATTCAACCTAAAAAAAATTTTAAGTAAGCGGCTCCTAACTTTCTAGAATGTTTATCCTGTATAGAAAACAAACCAAATATACATAAAACATTGATTTCTACTCAAATCAACAATACACTAAGAAATTACAGCCCTAATTCAAAATTCCCCCAGTTGACAATTACCCACATTCACCCTACGAAAGTCTTTTTTGAAGCCTCCATCGCCTTATTTCCATTTTAATTATGGATCGTCATCATTAAGGTCCCGTAATAAATCTGCTACACTGTACGTATTTCTCAAAGCAAGAAGCAGTCAAACCTAAAACTTGCTAAAACCTTCGCTTCCGCCTCTGACTTCCTAAGATCATCGTGATAGCTGACACGAACAGTGTCTCTTCGGCGCGACATTTCGATACGGAATGCGAATGAGGTTGAGGTACACAAATCCGTTGGCACAAAGAACCGAATGAGTAATATCGATAGTGATGTGGGCCGGGTAAATACCCAGTGGGTAGGTAAATATAAATTGGGGTTTTACCCGGGTATTTACCACAGGCCCGGGTAAATAGGCTACCCAAAAACTGGGTATTTATAATTTTTATTAAAGAGAAGATTGAGATGTTTTTTTGCAATTATTACCCTGTAAGGATAGTAAAATGATGATAAAATGTGTTTAAAAAAGTTGTATATGGTCACTACTAGCATTTTACTTCTGGGTATAATCGCCATAAATACCCAGGTCTGAGCATAAAGCATAATCGGCATAAATACCCTGGTTGCATGGTTGCACTGGTGCTGACTACTTATGATTTTTCTACTTATGAATTTCTATGATAGATAGATGAATTTATTTTATTGAAAGTGAAGAAAAATAATTTTTAAAGTACCTAATAAATTATTATTATTTAGAAAGACAGGTAAATTTAACCTAGTAGTGACCTATGGGTTTAAACAACTTAAGAAAATAAGGGTACACTTCCATATCTGTTGGCACAAACAACCAAATGAGTAATAATGATTATTCAATTGTTTAAGTCGATATATCGATCGATATTTTCATTCGGTTGTTTGTGCCAACAGATATGGAAGTGTACCCGAAATAATTAAAATTCAATCTGTAGGATGGCAGGATTTAATGATATTTTTGTTCTAGATCTTTTGTTGGTATCAATGGTATCAAAATAAAAAAAATAGGCTAATTTCATAAACTTGTGATACAGTACAAAACGTTTGAATCTATAGCACAATAAATCTTTCAAAATTATATTAAGTTCGACCAAAAAAACAGGAGATAATTTTTTTAGTAGGTTTATCCAAATATATTATTGTTTCCAACCAAGCGGTAACACAGAAAAGTTTAATTACTTTTAGTATTCTGCCATTCTGCCTATGTCAATCAGGCCTTAGGTCTGTCTAGTCTTCCAAGCCATTTAATAAAATAAAAATTTTAACCATCATAATTTAATAACATTTGGATATTTATAAATTAAAATAATTTTGTTCGTGTTATTTAATTGAAAAAAATCATGAAAAATTTAATTTATTGAAAAAATGTATGAAATGATAAAAATTGAAATAGCCACAGCCTTTTTTAATATAGGCTACTATTTTTTAGTAGGCCTAAGTTAAATTTAACTGACGTTACTCGATTTAAGACACGAAACCCCATGCTTTTTAGAAACTTTATGTATTATTTTTTTTAAAGTGCTTCAGTAAATCATTAAATAAAAGGTACTAGCAAAGCTTCAAGTTGCTGTAAAAGGTGTTTTAGACTATCCTAATTTATCATGTACATAATGATAACAATAACATATCTAGGGGTGAATATAGGCCCAAATGAATTTCAATCGATTTCATAAATACCCAAAATACCCGGGTAGGCCTATTTATGGATTTTGGGTATTTACCCGGGAAAATACCCAGGGTATTTACCCCGAGTTTTAAATACCCAGGTACTTTACATCACTAAATATCGATCGAACCTAACTAACCAAACGATAACTTATATCAAATTAAACAATAGAATAATCAATATTACTCATTCGGTTGTTTGTGCCAACAGATATGGAAGTGTACCCTGAGGTTGTGCTAAACTTACATATAGCAAATAGCACGAGCACTGGAATCACTAAAATTGTCTAATGTTTTTGTAAGCCTATAGGCCTAGCAAAAGTTAAAAAGCAATGTTAACTTACTTATATAGCAAAAGTTATATAACATTGTTATATAGCTGGTTTTGCTACATAGTGTAAGCCCAGCTTAATATTAACTTAATTATTAGCCTTAATTACTTAGAATATGGACTATAGGTTTGTACCCTACTTGGTTTGTACTGTAGCCTACCCTTATAATTGGCTTTCAACTGTTCGGATTCAAATTGCTGCAATGTATTCAATAAAGTTGTCCTCTCTTCATCAGTCAATTTCATAACTAAGGAGTTCGCAGTCTCCTTGGTCAATTTGGGAGCCGATGCCTCATTTAGGCCTACTTCTTCACTAGTAGCAGCAGTATTGTAAAATTTAGTTTTACTGGTCAAATATTTACCTCTGACAACACTTTCTCCTAAAACTACCAAACGTTTATTTAAATTTGCACTTGCATTTAAAAATGTTGAAAAGTTCAAAAATAGAGCTGATGAAAGTGCATTACTCATACTACACAAACCTAGACCGCTTAATCTTAATCCACCTAATTTTAATGCAGTAGCTACATTTAGATTGTAGCACATGACTTAATGACGGTAAAATAATAACCAAGCCAAATAAATGAATTCAAAACAAAACTTTAGACATAAAGTTAAGCTCAATTTCTCTTGCAAGGTTATAGGTACACTTAGCCTAGAGCAGAACCAAACCAAAACAACAAAACAGAAAACAAACACTAGGCCTATAATATAAATTATAAAATGAAATTGACATTTCCATTTCAATTCAACCAAAAAATGACAAAAAGAATGCATTCATTACAGCTGGCCAACAGCTGATTTGGAAGATACTCAAATATCCCACCTTGATTATTATTTTGGAAACAAAACCACTGTAAGCAGTTTTCTGATTGCAATATTGAGCGGAGCAAGCATACTAATCCAATACTTTTGTTTTGAGAAAAGTAGCGACAGATTTATTGTTCCCAATGGGCTCAGGCACGGCCGCCCTTAACTACAGGCCGCGGCCTTCGAAGTGGCAACGTCGCAAGTGGTGTTGTAACAGCTGCTTAGTTTGGCAGCAGCTAATGGTATTTTTTGTGTATTTAAGAAAGCTTGGTTTTTAATTTGGACTCTGACAATATTGGTTCCACTTTTTAAAGCAAAAAAAATTGATTTGTCCTACAGTTACCTAACAATGTACATGTTCTCTCACTGATTTGAGAAAGCAATAACATTGTCTCACTCTAATTACTTTGTCTCACTCCTGATTTGCAACGTGAAGGCACGAAATAGTGAGCGCGTAACATGCAGACAAGGTCGTATGCGCGCGAAATACGTTGACAGCACTGGCTGTAAATCAGCTGGTCAGCTGTTGTACTGTTATATCATTAAATGTCATATTAAAAGTTCACTTCTGAGTAAAAATATGTTACGTTTCTTTACAATTTATTTGTTTTATGGTAACTGTAGGAAAAATATAATGTGCAACTCGGATGTAAAGTGCAATTTGCCTCACTCGAGAAACCATTCCTTGAGTAAGTATTTCTCTCGAGTGAATCAATTGCTCACTTTGCTCACTAGTTGCACAAATTACTATTCTGTTTAAATCATAGACTAACCAACACAAGTAGACTTCTCATCCCATTGTAAATTTTGAAGCACGTTTTTCGTGTCTAGTTCATGTACGTGACACAAAGGCGCTAGTGTCGATGAAACTTTGTTTCTATTATTTTAGGGTTAATTTCTTGATTTGTGCTTTACTGTTTGGTTATATAGCTAGGGGACAAGTTATTGTATATGATTAGATCGTATATTATTTGGTTACACGGAAGTTTTAAATGGCTGTAATAACGGGAAACAAATTGTAAACAAAACACGACCTCTACATAAACCGTACAGAACTAACAATAAAATTGTCTTCAGCTGTTCCATAAGGATGAGAAATCTACTAAGGGAGTATGTTTTATCTATGGTTTAAATATTGTTTTTTTTATTTTTTTCCCTTGCCTTAAGGAATTGGACAGGTCAGGGTTAATACAAAGAATAACTCTACTAGATATTTTTTTAAATTCTGATTTGAATTTTGTTAAGCTCTAAATTTCAAGTAATTTTTTTCGGTAGGGCCTGGTACAATTTCATTCCCATGTAATCTGGTTTGTGTTCAAATTTTGTGAGTTTATGTCAGACTGCATGTGTGCCCTTTAATTGTTCGTGTGTTGTAAGTGTGGTTTGTAAAAGTTGGTTTAATGTTCTGTGATTTTATATAGCAAGCTGATTCATAGATATAAAGTGAAGGGACTGTGAAAAAGCCAAGTTCTCTATAGACATTTTTGCAGCTGGTCCGAGGCGGCATGCCCAAGATTGCTCTTACACTGCCATGTTCTGCCAAACAAAGATCTGGTCAATATTCTTCTTCACAGCTCCCCATAGGATGATTGAATACAAAATGTGCTGTTCTATTAGGCCAAAATACACAAGTTTAGAGAGAGTCAGGTTTCCGAAGGTCCTTATTCTTCGAAGTACAAAGACCCCTCGAGCCATTGTTTTTTTTTTTAATTCTTTATGTCTTATTTTCAATCTTTCAATAAATTTATGTTCATAAATTTTAATTTTAATGAATAATACGCGAAATAATGAGCTGGTGTCCCTGTCTGCAAGAGGTAAAGTCTCAGCGAGGAATAATATCATCAGGAAGCTCACCAGCAGATGCTGGGGTGCTAACCCTAATGCCCTCAGAACCTCAGCTTTAGCGCTCAGTGTGTCGGCTGCGGAGTACGCTGCACCAGTATGGAAATGGAATGCATCGTCACATGCAAAAAAGGTTGACATTGCAGTCAATGACATGGCTCGGATTGTAACTGGGTGTTTGAAACCAACCCCAGTACACAGACTCTATCCTATCATAGGGATCGCTCCTCCATCAATCCGACGTTATATCGCTGCCGACGCAGAAAGGGCTAAGCAAGAGACAGACCCTCGTCACCCATTACACGGCCACCAACCTGCAGAGCGACGGCTTCTGTCCAGAAAGAGCTTTTTATCACGGACACGAGTCCTGGATGGATCACTCTCAAGCGATCGGGTGGCAAGGTGGGAGGCCACGTTGACTAACCCTCCAATACCAGCCAGGGAGGAACTGGCTCCTGGTGGAGGCCTTCCATTACACGGTGTGGAAGACCCTAAATCGAATTAGGGTCGAGGTATCAAAATGCAAGACAAACATGCAGAAATGGGGTCTCTTATCAGACGAAGAAAACACCTTGTGCACGTGTGGTACTGTTCAGGATCCTGACCGTCTGATCCTGCCCACGCCTAGACCAGTCTTGCACATTAGATGATATTTTACATGCGAATGACAAAGCCATATCGGTAGCTAATTTTTGGAAAAGCGAAGTCTGATTTCCGGACACTTAAAGTAAGTAAGTACCTGTCTGCCATATTATCTTATGGGACGTCTGGCGCTAGACAACACCACTTGCGACGTTGCCAATTCTACCAGGCCGCGGCCTGTAGTTAAAGGCGGCCGTGGCTCAGGTTGACGGGTTTACTGAAATAGAATGTCTACTTCACGTATCAAGTCAAGTGCCAATGGTATGGTATTATCTGGTTTGCTTGGCAAACCACAGCCAAGAACTTAAGTTATTTATCACTCATCAAAAGATAGATGTATGCCTCATTTCTGAAACCCACTTCACTGATAGAAGTTTCTTCAAAATTCCTGGTTATATGGTCTACTTTACTAACCATCCAAATACAGAGCTCATGGAGGAACTGCTGTACTAGTGCACAACAAACTAAAACACTATTAGCTTCCTAACATGCAAAATGATTTCTTACAAGCCACGAGTATTGTTGTAAAATGTGTCAATAACGCCTATCTTACACTGTCGTCTGTCTACTATCCTTCACCTCATGCAATAACTAGAGATCAATTTAGAGACTTTTTCTCAACACTTGGTCCAAAATGTATTGCGGGTGGGGACTGCTAAACACACACACAGGGGCTCGAGACTATAACTCCAAGAGGTAGAACTCTTTACAGAACTATAACAGAAATGAATTGGGATTGTGTATCTTCAGGTTTACCTACTTACTGGCCAACTGACCGAAATAAAATACCGGACCTACTGGACATTTTTTTGTAGTTTAAGGTACATATACAATTGAACTACACGAATATCGAATCATCCCTTGATCTTTCTTCAGACCAGGGGAATCATAACTTACAGTACTAGTATATGCTTGAAGGAAAAATCCCCGTCGTTGTGGAATAAGAATACGACTGGGACTACTTTAGGACCCTTGTAAATAACAGTATTGATCTTTAAATCCCGTTACGGAATGAACATGATGTGGAAGAATCAATAAATTACTTCAACACTACCATACAGAGTCAGCCTGGGAAGCAACTCCAAAATCTAAAATCTGTGTCTCAAAATCAAATAAATATCCAATTTATATTAAGAGGAAAGTAGCAGAAAAACTTAGACTACGGAGAATTTGGCCAAATTCACGCGACCCTCTTGACAAAACTCGTCTTAATCGTGCAGCTCAGAAAATAAAACGATGTTTAGTGGAACTGAAAAATACATGGTTTGACGATTTTACGAAAAATCTAACCCCAACTGAAGCAACCGAGTATTCTCTTTGGAAGTCTACTAAATATATTAAACGTCCAGTTCAACATGTACCTCCAATTCGGAAACCTGACGGGTTCTGGGCTAAAACCCCTGAAGAAAAAGCGAAGGTTTTTGAAGATTATTTTTCTGATGTATTTAAGCCTATTACTCAGAATTCCCCCAATGACGAAAGTGAAATTTACGAATTTTTGGATGCACCAAATAAGTTGTCTCTGCCTATAAAATCTTGCACTCCTTCAGAGGTTTCAAGAATAATTTTTAAGGAAATTAACCCCGTGAAAAGTCCTGGGTACGATCTCATCACTAGACAAATTTTAAGAGAACTACCCCGTAAAGGCATTATGTTGTTGGCATTTATATTTAATGCTATGTTACGATAGGAATATTTTTCTGTTCAACTGAAAATTGCACAAATAGTTGTTATCCCAAACCAGGCAAACCACCTAAACGCATCTTCTTACAGACCCATAAGCTCGCTTCATATAGTATCAAAGTTGTTTGAAAAGGTAATACTCAAAAGGTTAACCCCCACTGTTGATGAATTAAACTTAATACCAGATCATCAGTTCGGCTTCCGCAAACAACATTCCACCATTCAACAAACTCACCGATTAGTTGATATTATAAAAAACACATTTGAGAAAAAAACAGTACTGTTCTGCTGCATTTTTGATGTCCAACAGGCGTTTGACAAGGTGTGGCATGTCGGACTTCTGTTTAAACTCAAATCGTCTCTCCCTCACTCTTTGTATAACCTTCTAAAATCATATCTGACCAAAATAGATCTTTTCAAATAAAATTCGAAAATTCGTTATCTGATCTAAAGCCGATACAGTCTGGAGTACCTCAGGGGAGTGTCCTTGGTCCCTTGCTATATTTGATATATACATCAGACTTCCCTATGGTCCCCAACGTCACAGTTGCTACATTCGCTGATGACACTGCACTATTGTCAAGTCATGTGGACCCTTAAGCTGCTTCCGTTAATCTGCAAGCTGCCTTGACTGAGTTCCAATGATGGCTAAAAAGTGGAGGATAAAAGTCAACGAAAAGAAGTCCAAACATATTGTTTTTACTCTAAGAACAGAGTACAATCCTCCAGTATAACCATTAATAATGTAGCTTTAACGGAGGCAGA